GTTGACTGGTTTATTGGTGGGGCTAATTACCGATGGACCTGTTGTGTCCATCATCACCGAATCATCCTTATCGGGGGCAACAGAGTCGCGAACTGGTTTTGGAGTAGCATCCGGAAAGAACCCTCGCGCAGGGGAGCGAGGGTCAATTGGAGCTGATTTTTGTTCCGTTGATGGGACCAGATCGCGCTCACGTTTTCGGCCCTTGGCTGCTGAGCGACGCTCAGCCAATTCCGTTACTACCGTCGTCGTGTCGGGGTCGGTCCACGGGTGGCCTAGAAGTTCAACCGCAATGGCCCAAACTTTAGCCAGAGGACGTAGTTCCAGTAGTAAACGAGGCTTGACCTCCAAAGTAAAATCCCAATACCGATTGAAAAATGTAGTCTCCTCCATCGGGTCGTCCAAAGGAAAAATCACCAGAGGATCTTGTACCGCCAGCCCAAGAATCAGTCCTCGGACATAGACGACGAGCTCCCGATCGTTTCCAATAAATTCGTCCTTGATGTCTCGGTCAAGCGCAGCTCGAATGCGTTGCTCGACCAAGTTCCAGTCCCCATCACAAATCTGTAGTAGCTTCTCGGCTGCTTCCTCCGAGAACAGCTCGTTTCCAAAGACAACTTCTTTTTTATTGTTGCGTTGACCACGAGCACGGTGGATTGTGCATAAATAGGCAAGGGTTTGCAGGTTCCACTGAGACGAATCGATGTTCTGGACGATGCGATCGTACTTCAGTGGATTCTCGACCTCCTCCATCTCGGTGTCGCTGTTGTTGTTGACGATTGGAGGGTCCAAATCGTCGGATTCCCTTTTCGATCGAATTTCGGCGGTTTCGACTTGGCTTTTTTGCGAAAAACTGATGCGACCCTGAGTAAGAGCAGTAGAATTAACAGATTTAGCAGCGATTGCCACTTTCTTGTTGTTCTTCGACTTTCCCATTGTCAGTTTTGATGCAAAAAGGAGGAGCGAGTTTCGTTTCGCTACAGAAAAATCGTGTAGGCGAAGTACCGAAAGTGATGTT